TTTTTTTTTTTTTTTTTTTTTTTTTTTTTTTTTTTTTTTTTTTTTTTCCTGTATATCTTCTGCCCACACTCCAGCTCAGTAGGTGGCGGTAATGCACCTTACAGTTGGTCTGCCAACCGCCATAAAACAATACTAGAAGAAGAAGAAGAAGAAGACTTCTGTTGTGACTTGGCGCTATATAAATAATCTGAATTGAATTGATAAATGTGTTTAATTTTCATGGCCAGATTGATTTATTTTGGAAACTGTATACAAATCCATAGATATCCCACACTCTTTGCATCTGTTCACTTTTTCCTATTATAGTCTTGATTTCTGATTTGTTTGTAAATGTTGATCATCTTTGCTAATCTGTCTCTGAGCACATTTCATCCTGAAGCCTACTAATTAAGGTGACTTGATAGTTGAAGCTGGAATAGACTTAGATTTTTTTATATTCTTTCTAAAGCTCAATATTGCATCTCTAAAGATGTATTGTTGTTATATTTAAAGCAGTGGTATCTGCTTATTGAATGATTTTAAGCATAATTTTTGTTTTACATCTTAACAAATTAAAACATTTTTTAATTTATGTTTCTGCTTCCAGTGAGGCCAAGGTCTTCCCTAATAATATAATCAGATGTCTTTATGTGGCCACCTCAATATCTGACCGTGAAAAAAGCAGGCAGTATCATTAAATAAAATATAACCATGTGCCCATTTTCATGCAGGATGGTAGATACTTTTGAGTTGACATATCTGTGTATGAATGCTAGAATTATAAGAATCTTAATGAATTCACCTGTTGTGACTTCATTGACTACAGCTGATAGGCTCTAGCTGCACTTCCATCTGATTGGCTTCACCTTTATCTGAGTCACCTGGTGCTCTGGAGTATGAAGTACTTTAAAAAATGTGAGGTTGTTAATTTGAATCAGACTGAACTTCGCTTCCTCAAAATTACCTTTTCAACATGGAAGGTAGAGCACGGTGCAGGGTGTGGCAAATTATAGCAGCCACAGTGCTCATGTGTTCTTTAGCCTCATGTTTAATTTATTTTAGCTTGCAAAGAATATCTAAAGTAGGTAAACAAGATGAGGACATTGTTGAAGGTAATGCCTTAGAAGTAAAGAGAGGAAGTATTTTCTTTAAAGAAAAAGAGCTCGACTACCAGTCAGATTCTGCTGCTGCTACAGAAAATGCCTTAACACAACCTGATCATGAAGGTAAGGATGTATATTTTTATGTAAATGTTGCATAAACTCAAACTATTGCAGTGAGTTAAATGCTGTGCTTTTCATAACATATTTTAAAGTGGTAGATGACATGGCCAATGCAGCATGGGGACTACTGAATGCTAAACTTCAGTGTGGCAGTAATGAGTTTAAATTTAAAGCCACGGGACCTGGTGCTGCAGATATTCAACTGGAAATGGGTAGGCAACTTTTTTTTTTTTTTCTTCTTTATCAAACAAATGCAAACTGGTATTTGACTCAACTTGGGCCCTTCTAATGTATCTTCTTTCTCCTAGAAAATGGAAAGCGTTTACCTCTAATCCAGGTTCCCAAAGAGTGTGGATTCTCAGTGAAACAAACTGCCTTGGGACTTCTTGTCACTGTTTCTTATGATGGCTGCAGTGTTAAACAGGAGGTATTGTTTGTCCTAGACTTACAGAAAATTTTATTAAGAGTAGGTTCCCCAATGAATGAACTGACTTTAAGCTCCGTTCTCCCCCTTTTTTTTTTTTTTTTTTTTTTTTTCCTTTTTTTTTAGAATGGGACCTACAGTTTGCTGATGAAATGGAGAGAAGATGATGTCAAGATTACCTGCACCCTGTTGGAAACCCCTGATAAAACCTTGTCTACTTCTGAGTCAACACATCCACTCATGCCACAGCGTTTACACCGCTCTAAACGGCATCTCAGATGGCCTCCCGTGTTTTACCCTTGCTCTCCACACAAGCGTTCCCGCCTGTGCATGTTCACTCCTCCACCAGCTACAACAACCACAACAACCACAACTGCTGAACCAAAATTACCCCCTCTCATACATCCTTATTACATACAAAAGATGCTATCGCTTTACCCAATCTATGAGACCTACCTTAACATGCCTCCTGAAAAGGTAATGCACCAACTTGCTGGCAAGAATCTAGGATGGAAACTGTTACAGATGCCTGAGAAGCGTCCCCAACACTTTCAGATTTTATTTGAAATGCTTCCACGCACAACCACCACAGTACCACCTACAACGATCAAAACCACACCATGTACGACCACAACAACTACAAGCTACGGTGACAACAACTGTCCTGGTTTCTGGAGACGATGGGTTCCCTTCCCCAAATTCAGTCCAAGAGTTTCAATTAATGGCCAAGATTACCTGCAATTCATGGGAAATGGCCAAGATTACCTGCAATTCATGGGAAATGGCCAAGATCACTTGCAATTTATGGGAAATGGCCAAGATCACTTGCAATTTATGAGAAATGAAAATTACAGACCTGGATCCCAGACTCGAGATGTTTCAGAATCTCTATGGGAGTCCTTTCCCTTGATTCCTTTTCCTTGATTTCCCACCTCATTTCTCAGTTTGAGGCTACCTGAAAATACTCTCCTGTTCCCATTTTTCTTTTTTAAAAAAAAAAAAACAAGCTGTCTAATGCTGAGTTTAATAAAAGGTTTGTCCTTTTACAACTTGTTTTTTTGTATTAAAGTCTCTTGTACACCATATTTTTAGAAATGATCTACAGTTTGTTATAATTTTACTGGTCTAGGATAATTTCACTGCTCAGGTAAACTTGAACAAAATTTTAAATTCAACATGAACTTAATTTTAAAACTACCTCTTCAATGGATGATGCACAACAGTAGTTGTAATATTTCTTCAGATTAATAAAGCACCTGTCCTAGAGGATGTATGTACACCCCATCCTGTCTCTCCATATTTCTGCTCGGCACCTTCTCCCTTGGGCAGCTGTGTGTGTGTGCACAAATTTTCAGCATGCATGCGACATCTAAGTCATTGGAAGTGCATATCTCAGGGAATGTGCAGTACAAAAACACTGCTTTTGTTAGAAAAGCTAATGTTAATGCATTTCACGTAAAAATGTAACTTGATAGCTGAACGTAACTCCTCCTCTGAGCTCTCTTTCCCACCCACTTCAATTTGTTTTCGGATGACTGAGGGAGATTTTCCAGAGGGGCAACTATAGACCACTGGTTCAAGGACTGACTGCAGCAGGCACATGCATAGAGTGGGAGTCTGTGTGGTAAAGAGCAACTGGGCAGAGGAAATCCAGGATATCTTTAAATTACAAGCTGAGGATTGTTGCAGGAGAGCCAAGCTGTCCAGCATCTCTGTAAGTTGCTGCCTTTTGGAGAGACTCTTAAACTGACAACTTGCGCTATCCATAATGAAACGACTTTTGTGAACCACTTCAATTAAAATTTAAATATCGTGTAAAAATGCAGTTTTCTTGTAGATGTAATGCTTGCTGCATAGTCTACTCCGCTCACTACTACACTGTGACACAGCACTCTTGAGCGCTGCATGTGTCCAAATTAATGAAAGCACTGTGGGCTTGAATCTGTGAAGTGGAATGAGGCTGTAGAAGCACATCCATAGAAAGGGGAATCAAAATATTAAAACAAGAAATTAGGAAACATTCTACAAGGAGAAAATGGGGATTTTAACCATTTAATTTTGCCTCAATTTGGTGCTTCTAGAAATATTTTGTGCTCCCTTATTTTGCAGTCTCATCCATGAGACTATATTTAGTCTGCCTTTCTTGTCATGCTCACTTGCAGTTCGCCTCTTGTCCTCACTTCAATAAGTCTAAGTCCTCTCTGCTTTCGGAGCACCGGTTTTATTTTAAATATACATATGCTTTTATTAATGTGAGCTCGTTTGTTTCTGGTAAAGGAAACTTGGAGAGAATAAGAAATGGAAAGCAGAGATGAAGATGGAGGCACACATGAGAGATCAGGAACAAAGTGGCAGCACTGAGCAGCTCTGTCTCTTCCAATTCTCTCTCCTGTTTCCATCTCTTCCCACATTTTCACCCCTCCTCCTTTCCATCTCTCCTCTCTCCACTCCCCTCCTCGCTGCTTTCTCTCCCTTCCACCCTCGCTCTCCTCCTGCATGGACCTGCAGTATATGAGAGGGTCTCCTGTAGCATCACTGCAGTGTAGAGGAGGGCAGGACGGCTTTAAAAGGATGTGTTAAAAGGATGGTGCACCAGGAGAAACGCATTTACCAGGTGTGTAGATTTCTGTATGTGGTGTTTAAGGGTGTGCATTATTTTTTACAGGTATTATTTGATGGGTTTCCACAATGGGTGCGCTGCTGTAAATGTCAGCCATACTGGATAAGAGGAAAAAATAAGGCAGTGGGTGTGTTCATATAAAATTATTGTTTTTCTCAAGATAATTTATTTCATTTAACATCTATGTAATCTAATTGTAATTTGTCATGAATGCCATGGAAGCTGTGAATGACTTGTTTTAATTCACATTAATAAAGAAAAAAGAGTGTGTTCATGCACTGTTAGTAAGAGGTACATTTAGGCAGGAGACTGAGTACTGGTTTAGAGTGAAAGCTTGCACTCAATTTTTCCTTTTGACGTCACGTCATCATCTGATAATGCGTCACCAACAAGAAAAAGGGTGCACATGAATATGCATGAGTCTGTCGGGACTCTGTTTTAAGGTTAGCCAGAGAGAAAGAGCGAAAGCTGATGCACGAGAGAAACACCTCTAATTTTAGACGTGTTACTTCATGGTTATTTTAAATAGGAGTGTAAATATGTGACAAACGTATATTCATATGGTTGAGACACAAAGGCTTTTGGCTTGGCTGCATCATAATGTACTTTTTTGCACATAAGGAAAGACAATCATGATTCATAATGTCTTGCTGAATGACGTGTTCGATATCACCCGCCATCAGAATAAAAGTGAATCCAAAAAGAGAGAAATTAAATGTAAAGATAAAATAGACGGAGAAAAAAGAAAAAAATCCACAAGTAAAATAAAAAAAACAATGAAGGTAAAACTAAAATTAATACAACTCGCACACATATTTAGTTCAAATGTAATTTACCAGTATTATGAATTTTCATCTCACATCTGCAAATTTCTTTACTTTTAAACCATACCTGCTCTTTGTTTCAATCTATTTTATGTGAGGACCATTTTTTTAACACATACTACATTGTGAGGACCAAAGCTCAGTCCTCATAAGGTTCAAGTGTTGTTGGTGAGTTAGGGGTTAGGTTTAGGACTAAGATGTGAATTGAAGATGGGTTAGTTAGGGTTAGGTATGTACGGGTAATGGTTTGGGGGCCTTTCTGGTTGGAGTTTGCATGTTCTCCCCGTGCATGCGTGAGTTTTCTCTGGGTACTCTGGTTTCCTCCCACACACCTAAAACATGCATGTTAGGATGATTGGTAACTCTAAATTGTCCCTAGGTGTGAGTGAGAGAGTGAATGGTTGTTTGTCTCGTTTGTCTCTATGTGTCCCTGTGAAGGACTTGCGACCTGTCCAGGGTGTCCCCCGCCTCTCTCACAGTGATTGCCAGACATGGGTACTGGCAACCCACATGACCCAAAATGGAAGAAGCGGGTAAAGATAATGGATGGATGGATTTTCTAAAACGTAAAGAACAAGTAGGAGCAGTTGAAAAAAATAAAACTATTTGCAAGCATGAGACGAACACAATCACAACCAGTATAAATTAAAATACCAATATTTAAAATCTAAAACAATGCTTTAATTTCTAGAAATTCATCTTAAAATTAACCCAAAACAAACTACATTCATTCCTAAGCGTCTTCTTCATGGTTCTTTTAACTCTTTGTTACTGATATTTATGTTTAGCGCAAGTTGTCAGAGTATTTATCCTCCATCAGCTCAGTCAGAAGAGACCAAAAATAAACTATTACCACTGAAATATATCTAGCAGAGAGACTGTATACTGAACATGATCTGTATTTACCAGAATCTGCCAGATGTGGTATTTATAAGAAATATCATAGCACACATTTGTCATACATCATTTTGATAGGTGAAAGAAAACCCCAAAGACTATTTTAATATCACACGTCTTTTTTATTTTTTACTTAAATTAATCAACCTGACCCCTCATGGCATCAGTACTGAATTTACAGGTCAGGAGCTTTACATGAACTAATAATAACTGTCTACTTTGTGCTTTTGCTTTCTGGTAGGCTCAGAGGAATGAGAGGGAGTCGATCAGGCAGAAACTTGCCCTTGGCAGTTTCTATGACGACGAGCCTGTCATCTACACCAGCTGCAGCAAGAACGGCCCATCCTCCCGGTGGGTTTCAATCAATGTTTGCACGGGAGAGAAAGAGTTAGTTTGATCAATGCAGCCTTAAAAATAAACTGACATGAATATTAGTATCGTGCTCAAACTGCAGCCACTGTAGGCCTAAAACTTTTTAATCAAACCACTGCATCAGCACTGCTCATCTTTGCATGAATTTATACATATGGAGGAAGTAAAAAGAAAAACTAATGAGAAACAAAGAAACAAATGCCAAATTCTGTGGTTTCTAATGTTTTCGATCAGATGGAATGATTTTGTTGTCCTTTGTCAGCGTTAAGCCCACTGAATTAAACTACAAAGAAACAAGGGAAAGAAAAAAAACCTGTACGTTTGCTTTTCTAATAAAACCTGAACTTACAGTAAACGACAAAATGATAGTAAAGAACACTATTTTTTTCCTAGAAATTTCTTTTAAAAAACGTGACTCAGAATGAAGGTGCATGATTAAAATTAAAAAAAAGCAGCCCAACAAAATGACCTTTAGTCTTTGCATTCATTCTTTTCAACACTTTTATTTTAAGATTTTTGGTTACAGAGAAGGAATGTGAATCACTTAAACAGAAAGTAAAAGGCTTCCTGGAAGTCTAGGTTTATGTTTACAGTCAGGAAACCAACATCCGACACAAATAATCACTGACAGCAGCAGAACAAAGAAGCACTCGTTTAGAAAGAGCTGGAAGAAAACCACACTTTAAAGTGGTTAACCTTTTCTTCATGACAACAGGGTGAGGACAAGAAAGTCCACATGGTGGGTTATTAGAAATATATATTTTTTGTTTGTTTTAATCACGTCTTCCTTTGAACCCAATGACACTAAATTACCTGTGGAGGGGAAAAGTGTTTATAAGGTTTCTTTTGACAGATTTCCCCAAAGTTTTACATCATGTATGAATTTTATTTGTAATTGCTTTTTACACATTTATTCTGTTAAATGCAAATAATATTTCACTACTCTGTTAAAAAAAATATTTTGAAATCCTAATTCTTTAAAAAAAATTATAAATAAAAAAAACCCATAAAATTTCATGTATTTAAAAATTTTTGGTACCACTTTACAATAAGGCTTCCCTTATAGATGGATAATAAATAGTTTATAGATATGTTATTAATTCCTCTATAAACACTTTATAAATCATTAATTGTTTATTATGCATTAATTAACAGTGAAAAAGAGACAAAATTGACCATTTTCTTGCCAAATACTGAGCCAAATCTACCACCTATACATTTCATCTAGAGTTCAGTGCTTAATTTGAGCCAGATCCTGTTCTGGTAGGATCCGGGAACTCTCTAATTTTGACAGGGTGCGTTCCGGTAAATGTTTGCTTGAATCCAGTGTCGTACAACTGCCTTGAATGAGTAAAACTTATTTTGGATATGAAATCTGAAAATAATTAAATAAACACTAATTTTAAACACAACAGCCATTTGAGGAGGAGCTACAAGTAGCATTTACGCATCGGCCCTTAAAAAAATCTCCGCCCCTTGAAGAGTGATGGGGGTGAATGTCGAGCTAACCAGGCAGTCGTACGTGCGCAGGAGCCCACCACCATGAACAGATAGAGCAGTCGGGCTCAGAACCGTCAAGTCAACCGTCAAGAGGGAAGAGGTGGGGGTCGGCTGCTTGACTCCACCACCACCACCAGCGCGCCCACTATTTGTCCAATCCAACTTTATTTATAAAGCACTTTAAAAGCACCCATACAGGACCAAAGTGCTGTACAGACAAGTTAAAAAACACAAAAAGGAATAAAATACAAGAAAAAAATAAATAAAAAAGACATAAACAGCTATGAAAAAAATATATAAAAAAAAAAAAACAGTAAAAAGGAATATCATATAAATAACAATAGTAAAATCAACATCTCACATGGTGTCAAAAGCCTTGGAAAAAAGATGTGTGTTCCGGCATCGATCAGTTTACAAATTAAGCCCTGCTAGAGTTGTTACGTTAAACATTTCAGACTAAGTTACTACCTTGTAAGCACAATAAACATTTGTAAACCTATTTCTTTAGCATATAATATTGTACTTTATCACTGCATTATAAGTATCTAATATTATATGCTAAAAAAATAGGTTTACAAATGCTTCTTGTGCTTACAAGGAAGCATCAAGTCTGAAATGTTTAATATAACAACTTTAGATGAAATACTGTATATAGGTGGCAGATTTGGCAAGAAACTGGTCAGTTTTTTCTCTCAGTCACACTTATTTAATGCATAATAAGCAGTTACTAATGATTTATGAAGTGTTTATAGAGAAATTAATAACATATAAACTATTAGCCATCTATAAAGGGAGCCTTATTGTAAAGTGGTACCGTCTTTTTTACATACAATAACATAAAATAAAACTCAGTATTTTTTTTCTCCCTGGTTATGACACACCGTGATGAATTATTTGGGGTCTTCATGCATGTGAAGGAGTTGCATTACATCAGAAATGAGAACAACCTTCACTTATTAGAACTTCCTCATCACCTCTGGTCTTTGACCTGCTGTAACTCTCTCTTTATGGCTTCTTTTACAAACGCTCGTCTCTACCTCATATCAAAGGCGGGGGATGCCCCCCTCCTTACTGACTGTTGTTTTGAGGAAGTACCGCTCAAAAGAAGAAGTGACGCTTGATGTAATCCAAAAGCTGAGATTGTGTTATGGAGTCACGTGACCTCCACTGAAGGTATAGGTCCATATTCTGGGGTTTAGCTCTGTGTGGAAATTCCACCACCGCCATGTCCTGTTTGTGGGGTGTATTACTGACTGTTCTCGTCCAACTGACTTTGTCTTTTCATTCAGTGGGGTTGTCATCATGTAGAATTGAATGAATGTGGGTTTGAGTGTTTGGGAAGGCTGTGGTTAAGCCTTTTAGATGCTTTTGTGTAACTGATGTGAACAGCATAGTTTTCTGTTTCTTGTTTCAGATGCAATACTATTTTTTTGTTTATTCTTATATTTCCCATCACAGCTTGTGACAAAACTGGCACATAAACCTTTAATGGTGAAAAGCAAACCTAAGAGGACAGTTGTTAGGGTGTTTTTTTAACCTTGTTGCAAGAGATTTATTGAGACACGTTCAAGTCAAGTTTATTGTCATTCACACCACATGTGGTACATGAGGTGGAACAAAATTATGTACTGAGGGTCCCAGTTACATTCAAAAATGGCAAAAATATAAAGTGTAAAAAGAAACAGTATAATGATCTAAGATATACGCTAAGATATACACTAAATAAGTGCCACACCATACGCTAAAAGATCTAAGATATACGCTAAACACTAATAATGTAAAACAATACGGTGTTAACAGCAGCCCGAATATGAGTCTATGGTGAGCTGGGTATGAATGAATACGGCAGCATGAGATAATCAGCAGCACAGATAAGTCACATATCACCAATTAAAGTGGCATTACATTGATTATTTTAAAACTGAATCTAAATCATTTTGATTTAGGAGATTCTAACATGATGAGTTCATAAGTTCAGTTTATTTTATACAAAGGTTATATCTAACACTGTTTTGTAACTATTAAATATCTGTCAGCATTTTGAACAATCTTGTATTATTTTTTGTTAAAAATTGCTAAATTTTCTGCAACTGCTTAAACAATTTATCTGAATATTTACTTGCCTTTCTGCCTCTTAATGCTTCGTTTATGCCCATTTTTAAAGATGCATATCACAACTAGTTGTGACGTTTTTTTCTCTTTACATTGTGTTTAAGTGTCAAAACAAAGAAGTGGACACACAAAACTAAAAAAAAATCACTTCATAAATTTTGTGTGGACTAAAGGACATTTATGTTTCCCCCTCTCAGGCGGCAGAGCGGCGTAAACCTACAGGTGTGTTTTGTTAATGACAGCAGTAGTGACAAAGACAGTGATGCTGAGGACAGCAGGACAGAGACCAGTTTGGACACACCGCTGTCTCCTGTGGTAGGAATCTGCAGAAATTTTGTGTGGCTTTTCTCTCAAATTGTTTTTTTTTTGTATCGTAACCACAAGAATAATAAAAAATACACACAGAGAGGGTTTCAACATGACATAAGTCACCTTCCTTCTTGAACAGAGCAAGCAGAGCTCGTCATTGTCGGACCGGGACACCGGAGAGGAGGACTCGGATCCGTTAGATGACTGCAGTGGGTTTTGGCGGGTGCAGCGGAGGCTGCAGGAGGAGGCCCGGGTGGCGCTGGCTCTGGCTCAACCCATGGCCCGCATGCAGGTGGAGGTGGAGAGGCAAATTCAGCTGCACAGACGCTCGCCTGTGGCTGACCTGGTTAGTGAAAAATCAAGGAAAAAGCGGGTTTATATGAGACGTGTTTATAGAGCTTTTATCTTTGTAAAATACAGTTTGAGGAAAGATAAGACTTTAAAAAAACATTCTAAATGGTGTGGGGAAATAAAGTGATTTACTGTAAACATAACGCAACATAAGGGACTTGTAGGGCCACAACAAAAGGTCAATAGTGTGTATATGTGTATGTGTGTATGCAACAAGAGAAAGCCCCTGAAACTGGTAAACAAAAGAGTAGCAAGATTGTCACACTATTACTTGAATAGGGACATTTAATAATACAGATAGAAAGATCCCATTCTCTCAGCCCTGTGCCGAAAAAACATTTAAAGCAATTTTGTCCCTTTAAATTCTTGTCCTTTTTGTTTCTTTAGCTCCCCCATATGCCCCACATCAGCGAGGCCTTAATCAAGTGGAATCTGAGGCGAGGGGACATGAGAAACATGAGTCTTGGGCAGCTACAAGTCATCACAAATGACTTGCACTCACAGATTCAGAGTGAGTTCATACACATTCACGCAACCAAAGCATCACTGAAAGACGTGAAATACATTCTGACAAATTTACTTCACATGACACACTCAAGTTCAGAAGACAAACAAAAAAACATGTTTCTTTAATATGACGGCAATGATCAGCCGTGTTATAACCAAGACGTAAATCCAGCTCGCTGAGCTTTCTAAAACACCAAGTGGATTACATTTTATCGCAGGTTTAAATGAGGAGCTGGTGCAGCTGCTGCTGATGAGGGATGAGCTGCATGTCGAGCAGGACGCCATGTTGGTGGACATAGAGGACCTCACCAGGTGAAACCATTCTGTCTGCAGGTGATGTGTTATCAGCAGAAGGTGATGTAAACATTAACATTTGCTGCTATCTCTGCTATTTCAGGCATACACACAGCCATCAGCGGCACCAGGCGGCAAAAGCAGCTTCTAAGTAAAGAATCGGTTCTGTCTGCACGCTGCTCAACCTCCCATTCCACACTATAGTGTTGCTGTTAACACTCTGCTGACTGTTTCTGTAGAGCCCAATGCAGCGTATAGTATTAACACATCCAGTATTTGTACAGTAACACTGCACGGTCCTGTTTGGGTAAGATTTTAGTAAAGACACGTGAGTTTGTGCAGCATTTTCTCTCTCACTCAGCATGATACATCATCCTATACTTCAGAGAATTTAGATGGGAATCCACTTGACATAACTCCAACCCAGACTTTATTAAGTGTGAGGTAATTTTTGCACAGTTTACACATTTTTTAAATGGCTTGATTTTTTGTTTGTTTGTTTTTTAGAATATGGATCATAATCAATAAAAAAAAGTGCCACACCTAGAAAAAATTAAAATTTGCTTTACCTTCAAAACAATCAATAATCAATGCTTGTGCACACTCTGTTCTCCTGTAGTGTGTATTTATTTTACTATGAGCACTGTAGTAATGCTGTTTATCTGGAATTCACATAAAAGATGATTACCATATCATTTCTAAAAATAGAAGTTGTTAAAAATACATTTTCAGGCAGCATATTAAAGTGAACTTTCTCTTCATGGAAATATGCAACATACTTTTTTATATGCTTACTGCTAACGGCAACGAAAATGTCAAATATATCAATAAATTACATTCTGATTATCTATTTTGTCTGTTTAAGAGGTTTATTGTGTGTAAATGTTAAGAGACACTTTATTAAAAAAAAAAGAACATGCCTTTATGTGTTTTAATGTTTTTACATTCAGCTTTTTAAGAATGTCAAACCACACAATGGTGAATTTTATATTATTTGCTCCATTTTAAACAAGGTACTGTATGTATATCGATTGTAAACACAAATCTAGTAATAAATGTTTCAGATGTGTGAAAATCATGGCGTTGACTTTTATTATTTATTTTAGATGTATGAATCTCCCATCTGTCGGCGTTACTCGGAACCCAAAAAACCCTGATTACTTTGCTTTTACTCATAAACATGTTGAGCTCATGTGGCTTTCTAAACAGGCGCAGCTGAGTTTCAATTCAATTCAGCCTGTTTATATAGCGCCACATCACAACAGAAGTCATCTCGGGGCACTGAGCAGAAACATTCATATATATAAAAGTAAGGTAACAGTATTTATCTGAGGAGCAGAATGTTTTGAATTTAATTCCATCACAGACTCTCATCTTGAGCAAGCATGACGGCGACAGTGGAAAGGAAAAACTCCCTCATGAGGTAGAAACCTTTAGCAGAACCAGGCTCAGGACAAGCGGCCACTGCTTCGACCGGCTGGGTTTGAGAGGAACAGATACACAATGGCAGGTCAAGAATCACATGTTAAGATAGAAATAATTTCAAATGAAAACTATTCAGTTGAAACAATTCATAAAAAAATGATGTCGTGTCCTCTAGTAGTCTAAGCCTATGGCAGCATAACAAGCCAATCCTAACTATAGGATTTATCAAAAAGAAAAGTCTTAAGTCCAGTCTTAAAACTGGACAATGTGTCAGTGTTACAGACAGAAACTGGAAGTTGGTTCCACAAGAGAGGAGCCTGATAACTAGAAGATCTTCCTCCCATTCTGCTTTTGGAAACTATGAACCACAAGTAAGCCTGCAGTCTGAGAGCGAAGTGCTCTGTTAGGAAAATATGGAACAACAAGATCTGTAATATAAGATGGAGCCAGGTTGTTGAGAGCTTTGTAGTTCAGAAGTAAGATTTTGAATTCTATTCTGTATTTGACAGGGAGCCAGTGGAGAGAAGCTAAAACTGGAGAGATATGATCTCTCCTACTAACTCCAGTTAAGACTCTGGCAGCAGCATTTAAGATTAACTAAAGGCTTTTTAAAGACATATCTGGACACTCGGATAACAAACCATCGCAATAGTCCAGTCTAGACGTGACGAATGCATGGACCAGTTTTTCTGCATCATTTTTAGACGAGACATTTCTAATTTTATCGATATTACGCAGGTGGAAGAATGCGATTCTCTGTTTTCTGATTTTCGGTTTCTCTGCTCATTCACACATTCTTGTGTTCACACGTACAGCAAAGTGAGAGGGGAACAACTCTGACTGCCTTAACAAAAAAAACATTTAGTCGATCCTCATGAAGTGATGTGAGACGTAACTATTACAGTGCTGCCGAGCGACAGGGCTTATAAGAAGGGGAATAATTAAAATGATTATACATTCATTTATGATTTTTTTTTTAAAGAGTCCACCTAAAACTCAGCCTTGGATATTTTTTTTTAACTGTGGAAAATAAATTAATAAAAATATGTACCAATATGAAAAAGCATTAATTGGGCTTGATTGACTTATTCTCTAACTAATATTTGTTATCAGAAATGTTTTGTTAATAAAATAAAATAATATAAATCTCAGTTTGTTTCATTTTTGCATCATTGCAAGAACTGAATTAAATTGTAATTCATTGAAACAGTTCAATAATGGACACATGTCACAACAGTACAGGATTAAATGGATAAATCATTTATTTTGAAGTGAAGTTTTAAAAGGTTATTAGACACTTTTCATTATGGAGTTTAATTCTGATGTACAACTTAGCTCATGCCTAGTCCAAGCTGGCTAAGACCAAAGTGGGTTAGTGTGTCCTAAAACAACTCCAGTCTAATAAACGTCATGTTAGTTCATGAGAATGACACGTTTTAAACCTTTAAACTTCTACTCCAACAGAAACATTAGGATAGGCCTTCTGAAAGTTGAGCCATTAGCTTGTCTGTCAGGTCAGAAACTATTTTTCTCCAAGTTGAGACAGTTAAAAAAAAAACTGTATAACAAATAAGTTTTCCACAGAACCTCACTTCAAAACTTCTGAATTAAACTTCTGAAATGAAAAATGGCATCAAGTTTTCACTCTACCTTCTTTGGAAATGTCAACAACAAACAGTCATTGAGCCATAGACAGACACCTAGAGCTGTGATTGTGTTAATTCCAGTTTCACCAACCCGTTTAATGATGCGAGAAGGCGGGAAAATAAAATTACATCATATTGACCAGGCACTTTCATTTTACACTTGAAAAGGCTGCTGTTCCTGGAGGAAAATCCCTGCATCACTTTAGGTATAAAACACATCAGAGGTGCCGAAGTTGAATCAAACACACTCAAAAGAATTTGAATCGGTATTTCGTCGAGATGCTCCTCATCAAGCTCTGTGAGTATTGTGTAGATTAACTGCTTGAGCTCAGCAAGACAGCATAGAAGTGTTTATTTTTTATGTGAACTCTATTCTTTCTTTGTCAGATTTCACCTCTGCCCTGATGCTGCTGGTGCTCAGCAGTCCTGTATGGCAGGTCAGACCTTCTCTGCCAGAGATGGGCAGGAAACACATGACGGACTCCTGTGTTTTCTACGCAGGAACACTTCTGAGGAACATCACGGATGCACTCAAACAGGTAGGTGAAGAAAAGGAGATGAAATTCTCCATTTTTGCTATTGTTTATTTTTGATAAGCTTCTTCACCCCTTACAGACCAGGCTGTTCAGCGGAATCGATTGCACTAAACAGAACATGGAGCTGAACCAGGAGACCAGCACACCGTCTGTCTGCTCACCACGAGTAATATACCATTTTTTAAAAATCCTACTACGCTGCAATCTGCCAATATTTAAGAAGTTTCTTGTTGTTGTGGTTCTAAAGTTTGTACCTGTCACCCCTCAGGAATCGACATGCTCTGCTATCAGAAAATCAGAGTTTGATGAGGTAACCTGCTCTGTATTTTTAACAGAAACAACACATTTTTTTTATATTTTATGGACTGAAATAAGTTTTAGTTGTCCCAAAAAGTCATCTAATTTGCTCTGAAACTGTCACCTCTGGAAAAAAAAAGTTTTCTGTAGAATTTTTAAAGTGCTTACAGATATTTACTGCTTACTGATTTATTTCATGCTGCTGAGTTCATTCGTGCTAAAATGCTCACACAGACTCATGTCCGTGCTGCTGCTCAGTGTATTGTTTATATGCTACTAGTGATTAGTATATTTTTATTAATGTTTTTCTTAGTTCATATCTTAGATCTTATTACTGTTGTTTTTTTTACATTTTAATACTTCTGTTGGATGTAACTGAGACCCTGTATACGCAATGTCATTCCACCACATGTACCACATGTGGTGGAATGACAAATAAAGAACCTTGAATCCTTGAATATTTTGGATGTTATAATGATTGTGTTTGATTTTATTTATTTGCATTTTTTCATCCAGGAGTCTTGTTTGACAAACATCGAGAAGGATCTGACCCACTACCACAATTTTCTCTCTGCTCAGCCGGATCCTTACAAATTAATTGGCTCATTTGTTCTGCGCAGCCTCAGACAACTCATGGAGGTCCGTTACTGCACAAAATACACACAATGTTTGCACTGTTATAACACAACTTGCACCAACTGACACCGTTTTTTTCTGCTTGATATGATTATATATAT